CCAGTAAAGTTTCAAGTAAGTTGCCAACTGAATGAGGTATAACTGACTCACCGAACGAAATGCAAAAGTGCAAATACTTCTACTTCACATCGGTCCTCCAAGAAACCGTGATACTTTACCGGTCGAGCCGGGCTTTATATGTAACAGTCGAAGGCGCTGCTTCGATAGCCTGTATAAAATAAAATTGCAAATTATCCGTTCAAAAGTTTATAATTTTGCCAATAGTAGTGATACATTGTAATACAATAAAAACCAAAATTATCATTATTTAAACACAAAAAAATTAATTTAAAGTTTTATCTAGTGTATGCAGAAAACGAACTTTGAACTTTATAAATAATTAATACGACATTGGGTGTCCTAAACAACTTTACAGAACCTTGAGTTCTGATAATAATATAAAAGGAGCAGTAAAATGAGATGAAGAAAACCTTAATGACGGTTGAAACAATTTATAACATTATAAATATTTAACTAAAGTAACGCAAACCAATAATTTATTAGTTAATAAAAGTTCAAGTCGTTGCCCAAACGTAAATAAATTTTTGGTTAAAACATTATTTGAAAATTAACAAATTTACGGACATTACGAATATCATAACAAAAACTACATTTGTTAAAATCAACCTCTTTAAATAGCGAAAAAATTAATTCTCTTTATAGCATACTAGCTGCCCGGGACTATGTCTGCGTAGAATACGCTGAAGGCGCAACATGCAGAGATAAATATATGATTATATAATTTATATACATAACAATATGTATATATAAATTATAGCCTTATTCTGATGTATATAAGCTATATTATAATATTGTAAAGTTTCATTAAAATCCATTCAGTAGTATTTGCATGAATGAGTAACAAACATCCATCCATACATACAAACTTTCGCCTTTTAATACTAGTAAGGAAAGGATTAGTAAGGATACATTAAGCGATTGACTTAGTTTTAATTTATGTAAAATGGTTCTGACCGTATCAATGGAAAATATTGACCCTACACACGTATTTACATGCAATTAGGACCCGCGTGTGAATCGTATTTTACCTTTTTTTCTATTTGGGACGTTGTAATATATTTTTCCAACCTTTCTCAGACTAAAACCAAAATTTATAATCTGTGAAGTAAGTATCGTAGTGGAGGACGACTCCCCCCCCGAGGCTGAGGCTCGTGCTTCGTGGCAGACTATGGGGGAGGCCTATTTTCAGTACGCCAGACTCAAACAGGGTAAAATAATGATGAAGCACATGTTTGACGTTAGCATTCGTATACGTTGGAATAGATACAATTCTGATCTTAGGACTTCTTGTTTATAATCTCAAATTATTCGCTCAATGACTTGGTCGCTTATGGTATAATTTCAGATTCGAGATATTTGTATATATGTGCCATTGTTAATATTCTTATTTATAAGTGTTGTATATATCAATTGTGTTGAGTGGGAAAAACTTTTCTCTTTCTAATGTATAAGTGCTGCCTGCCGGTAGAACATTTCTATAAACCTATCGTCATTGTAAATCTCGTCTATTGTTGACGACTACTCGTTTCTCGTTGCAAATTTAATTTGAATGGACGCTTCGCTTCAGGCGAAAGATAAATGCAATGGCAGAAATCCAATTTTTATTTGTGAGATTTACAAGGTTTTTGTTTGGAAGTACCTACCTCTTGTACATTCATATAAAATTATAAATGAATCAAATAAAGTATTCGTTTTTAATCATTTATAAAAGTTTTTAATAATAATTTTTTGGAGAGTTACTTTAGTTTAGTTTTTTTAGAGAAATCATTTTTTTATTATACTGTAATATTACAGCAGTCAGACTAACTGCACTCGAAATCCTACATTCCTTTAGGTTTAGAATCATTTAAATCCACAAATTTTCATTATGAATAAAAATCATGATTTTATTGTCCGAAATCATCACAAATTGAAATTCAAATATCTTTGTTAAATCATCATCATCATCATCAGCCGCAAGACGTCCACTGTTGAACATAGGCCTCCCCCTTAGAACGCCACAACGAACGAGCAAAGTGTCGTCATTTGCATCCATCGGTTCCCCGCGACTCTTATGATGTCGTCGGTTCACCTAGAGGGAGGCCTTCCAACGCTACGTCTGGTCGCCACTCGGGAACCTTTACTCCCCATCGGCCATCAGTTCTTCGAGCGATGTGGCCTGCAATCTGATGGATCTGCAAGTTGAAGTGGCAGTGGGTCCACTTCAACTTGCAGATCCGGAGAGCTATGTCGGTGACTCCGGTTCTTCGGCGAATTTCCTCATTCCGGATTTTGTCGAACAAAGAAACTCCGAGCATAGCTCTCTCCATAGGTCATTGTGTGACTCTGAGCTTCTCTAATAGGCCAACTTTTAGAGACCACGTCTCAGTGCCATACGTCATCGCTGGCAACACACACTGGTTATAAACCCTATATTTTATAACCAGTGTGTGTTGAAACCCTATTTATTAAATATCGAAGCATTAAACGTACTTATTGATTGTCAAAACGCTACCACCAATTCTTAAAAGAAAAGCCACTGCCCTGAGAAGAACCGGCGAAAGAAACTCAGCGGGACAAATTTTTAACCATTATTTAACGAAAAAAAAAACATGTTTTACAAATGTACTGAAGTCCACTTGAAAGAACCTGGAACGATCAATTCATTTCCATAGTGTGATCCAAAGTTCCTTTACAATTTTTTTGAATTTAGAAATTGATACATTTTGAAATTTGCTGTAAAAAGAAAAGTCTAGTTGTAGGTAGAATTAATTTATGTTATGACGCTCTTAGTATTTATATCATTCACATTGGTAGGTCTTCAAAATTCATTCTTGATTTTTATGGACATACATAACATTTTCAAGTATGTAGGTACTAAGAAGCAACAGTAAATATTTTAATCTCGTTGAATAAATTTCTTAGTAATTCTTTGGGGCTCAGGTTATAAACTCTTTTGGAGGACGAAAATAGTATTTATATCGGCCGCGTTTCCCCAAAGTAGAATGCCATAAGACATTATATAATGGAAATAACAAAAATATACTAAACGAGGCATATCATCTGTCAGCTGTCTTATTTTTAACTGCGAAGTTAGTCTACTCGCCAGCTTATTAATATGGGGGCCCCACTGTAGTTTGACATCCATAGTTAGGCCAAGGAATACAGTCGAGTCAATAGGGTCAAGCACTTCCCCATGTAGTACATCAGTTTTTAACATGATTCACATTTGGAGTTGAAAATTTTATTTATTTTTTATTGTTCAATAGTAAATTTTAGTATTAAACTCATGCACTATAGTGGATAGAGTATTCTTTACATCGTCATAGTTTGAAGAATGTCGCTTTCCTTTTAAAACTAAAGAAGTATCATCAGCAAACAATACTACGTCATGACTATGATTAACGAAATAAGACAAGTCATTTATATAGATGAAGAAGAGAAAAGGTCCTAGAATAGATCCTTGTGGGTTCCTCCTAAATACTAATGATCCAAGCCGTTACAAATTTAATGAAGGTGTGACCCAGAAATAAAAAAAAAATATTTAAATATTTTTTGTTTCCTCGTATCTTACTTACAGGGAATAAAAAGTAATGACACAGTCAACGGGGTCAATAGCACAAACTGAGGGATCGGTCTTGAGCCCATTTCTGATTTATTTCATAACTAAAAATTATTTGCCATATGTGGTGGAAAAAAGGTCTCATATCGATTTGTTTGCGGATGTCACTTCACTATTGTTTAAAATTAAAAGAAAAGATGAAGCACTAAAGCAACCACATGAATAACTAGATGTATTGTCAGGCTGGTTTGCTACTCATAATTCACTTATTAGTAAAGTTCACCAAAATAAAATGTATTAGATTAAGTCTATCAAAGTTGTTTCGCCAGTCAGGAATCTCTATTGATTAGAAAATCCTATGCATTGACTCCAAGTTTCAATGGGGATTTCATGTAGATAAGTTAGCTAAGAATTTGAGCGCTGCTGTCTTTGCCAAACACAAAGTCATGCAGATAACTAACAACGCAACAGTTAAATTAGTTCATTATGTTTATTTTCACAGCATTATATCGTATGGTGTTTTGCTTTGGGGATCAGCATAGACACAATATTTGTATTACAAAGCAGCCCCTACGGCATCTTTTAAGTTCATCAAATAAACGTTTTAACACTGACTTCGCTGTACATACCCAAAAATATTATGATATACGTATATAAAAATATGCATATTTAAAAAAAAACATACCACTTCGCGTTGGAGCCGTGGTGACACTTTGAAAGTACCTAAGTATCAATTGGCAAAAACACTTTTGTAATAAAATAGATGATATCTAAAAACAACTAAGTATAAACAAATTTATATATTTGTAAAGGCTACCCTAATGGCCTATTTTAATGTCAAAGACTACATTGAGGAGAAGGATACGTCGAAATGACTCCTGCTCTGCACTTGCAAGTCCCCTGGCTGATTCTGAATCATTAAAAAAGAAATAAAAAAAAACTGCAGTTTGCTCGTTTTTCTCTGGCCAAGTCTAGTTTAGTGAACCGGTCCTAGTTTTTTTACGTCCAATTAAGCCTTTAGAGAATGAACAAATTTTGAATGACTTTTACAAAAAAAAATCTTAATAAACATGGTAAACTGAACGATTATTTTGAATCGCAAAGACATCCTTATCACAGTTTATAATTTCAATAAAAAAAAATTGAAAAATGGTAAATTGTTTCATCTCAAGTGGTACCTTACGAACCATTATATTATTTTTATGTTAAATTCGACAATTTATAGGAACGCGCAAGCGTCTATTTGAATAAAAGATATTTTGAATTTGATTTAATTTACTTTAAAATTGGGGTAAAATTGAAATAGCCGGAGCAATATATCTAACCGAAATATTGTGCGATAAAGTCAAGCAACCATAAAAATCGAGCAAATTCAGTAAGTTAGAGTAATGGGCGAATGTTAAAGGGGTATATATTTTAGAAGTCTCTTAGTACTCACCTGAAGTCCTATAGTCGTAACTCCTGGTATAAGTGTCGTAATCGTCGTCGTAAATCGACGCCTCCGTGGTTATCAGGAGCAGTGGCGCCAGCAGGCACGGTAGCCACCACGAATGCATTTTTATTTGGTCCTTCGAACTCCTTTATTTACTGATCAAATGTTATCACTTTCTCTACATCGGCATCGGTTTATTTAATACTTATCTTCACAGTCCACTATGTTGTGATATAATCATTAATTATACATATTTTGTGTGAGTGGATGTGCATATAACCAGTTTTTGTTTTTTATTTTAATTTCATATATGCAAGTTCAATTGAAACTGTAACGAACATCCCACATGGAATCGACGCGTAGATTGTGTGAACCGCTAACAATTCTGAGATGCAATGCGATTTTCTTAATAACTTATCCAATCATACAGCATGCTACTTTAAATTTATTTCTAATTAACTTCGACGAATCTGTTTAACAGATATCTCAGTTCACAATATGAAAGCCACTTCTGTTTAAGGGATTCAAGAAATGTATTTGAAATAATACATGAAATATGATTAAACTGATTTAAATATTAATATGAATTATAAATTAGCAGCCAAATGACATTCAATGATAACGGGTTACTCAATATTTATGGGCTAAGATATGGTCGATACTTGTTCGATTACGTTTTATTTGCTGGCTACGCTTGGAATTATATTGAAGCTAATTTACCAGAGAGTTGAACTTGGGTAGAATATCGTCCAGAGCAAATAACGCTGCGGACGTGACGCCATAAAAAAGAGGTTTTACTAATGCCATCTTGGTTTGAATAGTTTAATAAGAAGTGGATTGCGCCCAAACGGGGCGGTATCTAGAGGGCTTTAATAAAATATCCAGATCTGTAGGCGATCGGTCCTAGGGGTCTGTGATTAAGTGAGACTTCGTCATGATTAATTAATTTATCTATATCGTTACATTGTTGGTCAAACCGCAGGGTTACTGAATCGGAGTTTGGCTTTGAAGTGGCTTTCCCGGGAAAGTAATTTAATTTGCCTCTGAACGACGTTTCTGAACTAAGGGTCTGGCTTAAATTAGCAATTATGAAGTCATAATGCTACAATACTGTTGCAAATATGTTATCAGTCAATCTATTGCGAAATGACATAAATATTAAAAATTTCCAAACAAATTTTGTAGCTTTATATAGGCTGTTTGTTTTTGCCTGATCTGACAGGTCTTATTCTTTCCTAAGTATAAATCGAAGGGCATTTCGATTATGTCTGGTATTGAACGTTTGTAGGGTTAAACTTTTTAAAATTGGAAATAAATGTTTAATGAACTCTTTCCTTCCTTCAATTTAAGATATTTTTTTTATGTTAGAAGGTGGCAAACAAGCTGGCGGTTCACCTGATGTTAAGTGATAATCACTACCCATTGCAACACCCGTAGGGAATGCAGATGCGTTGTCACCTTTTAATAAAGTGGGCCCTGGCTACCTCACTCAATAGACGAAACGCAGGACCTGCCCATTCAGCGAAGACTGCTGTGTGGCCCTACCATCGTTATATGATAGTTTCTTTAATCAATTTTTTTTAAATGATATAGCTTGGTGTGGCTCTTATATTTGCAATTTAATGCAAATACTGAAAATCAAACCTTAGCTCTATTGCACCACTACAATTTAGAGAATACCGTTAGCTCCATTGCGAAGGTACCAGTATGGTAAATAATCTCGTACCGATTAGATGTTAATTCAGTCTACGCTGTTTGAGAGCCAGTGATGATTATATAGTGCACTTAGTGTGGTATATATCACACAATTCGATATAGAGCGATAGTATAGCGTTGCATTATGCAAACACGGAAGTCGCTGCTCCCAAGCAGGATGAAATTACGATATCATAACTGCGCATTCAACGCCAATTCGCGAAAGTAAATCCAATTTTGAACTTAACGATTTTGAATGGAAAGTTGGCGAGTTAAGATGAAAAAAATTTATTCCGAAAGTCAAACTTCTAGATAAACGTGAAATGAGCGAAGTTTTCTATTGAGTCCGATAATTCGAATCTTGGACAGGTCGTGTGTAAACTATAACTGAAATGGGTTATCACAATTGAAATGAAAATTTGAGGGAAGAAATGTTGATTTCGTAAAACGAACACAAATCAATTATAAATAATAATACGTTACAAATGGGACTATTGAATATCCTCAAAAGTTTATGTTATAACAAGAAACCAATTTATAAAGTTACAACAACATCATGTAACATTATTATTTATAAGCTGGACCTTGAGAATCGGCAATATATTAATAAACAAAACGCCCTGAGATCGTACAAGCTCACATATATAAAAACATTTTACAACACCCAAATTTAAATTCTGAAGGCTGAAGGCTGAAGTTCTGCTATTTCTATTCATTACATATTTAAAAACGCTGCTCCGGGCAGATTGGTGAGCGCATAATCGATAGGCCGTTCGCATCAGCCCACGCGAAAGCTTCGGGAGGAAACCTGGCTTCAGGATTATTCAATGTAATAATGTAAAAAGGATTCACGTCACCAATCCGTATTTTGTAAATCTAATGCCATGTTATTTTTGTCACGTTACGTTCAATCTTTTGGATATAGAGGCAAGGAGTTGGTAAAAAACAATTACATATTCAAAAATCGTATTGCCCTTCTAGACTGTTATTGTGAAGCCTTAGACTGTAAGTGTGAAGACTGATATTATTCATCCCATTTAACACGGAAATAAATTTTCTTATAAAGCAATTCTGTGCAATGTAGTAACTTATTAGTAAGATGTTTATTAGCGATTGACTCTATTTCACTAACAACTCAATAAATGAACCCCGTGCGTTACCATCTGGAAATATACGAGTATAGCGCGCACCATTCGACGGTCGCTTTCCCATCAAACCGATATTTCGAGAAGAGAGCTCCATCCGAGAAACCTCCAAATTTTCTTTTTACGGCATCGTTAAACGGCGCGTGTGTTGAACGAGCCGTGAGTCTTAATTTTCGCTCGAGCCGCAAGTAGCTCTGTGTGGGCTCTGAGGAGCGACAGGCATATAATTAACAACCCCTGTCAAATTCACACCAATCACCCTCAACTCCGTTACGCCCGATTTGCAGTAAATTTGAGGCTAAATTAACACCGGGCTTTTTCACTGTGCCGCACAACTTTTTCGCCTTTCACGATTGGTTGCTTTGATATATTTTTCGACCTTCTTCTACTCTTCACATTTGTGATAAATTAATGGAGTAAGGCGTATTGCTTCCCCTCTGAAAAATTGCTGTTTAATTGTTTTTTGTATCAAGTATGAACAAAAAACAACATTGAAAAATACGTATAAAACCTTGCCATGACCTTTTAGTACTATTTCTGATAAGATAATGTTTGTACTTTGTATTACTTTGGTGGGTACCTAATTAATATTCTATCCGGCATTTATAAAGTGTAAAACTTACTACTATGCGAGCTGCAATAAATTATCAAAGAAGAAAGAAGTTTTAATGTTAAGTGGCAGTTCAACGTACAAGCTCATGCGGCTACAATCGGTAACAATTCTAACAAATTATATTGTAATGTAGGTCAAAGACCAGTGGGCCACCGAATATTCAATGCCCCACAATATGTAAATCGGTTCATGCATCCCATTTGCATTCGATATTATTCAGGACGTGCCCTGGATAATATCTCATGAAGGCAATTTTTTGACTATTCTCAGAAAGTTTAAAAAAGAAGCCTTTAAAATGTAGTATCTTTTAAACATCTGTAGTATCTTTTAAACTGCGACTTGTTATAGTATCAATGAATTTGTAAACTTTTTATAACTTTTTTTAATGGACGTATTACGAAAATAAAAGTAGTACACATGTCACGGGACATCGACTTTTACGGGTATGTATGTCTTAAATCAAAGAAGTCTCAGGAAAGTTGAAATCCCTTCTAGGGCACGCCATCGCATATTTCACAGAAGTACTTTCTTGCTAATAAAATATATGTGTCACAGCATTTATGATACACGAGTACGGAGTACAGTCGAAGTCAATACTATTTGCATGTACAAACATTAATTGATTCTATTTCTAGAATTGGTAAAAAAGTCTATTACATTTTTTTAAAAGTTAATTAGGGACGTTAAGGTCAATTGTAGCAAGACCAAAAAAAATTATAACTTATTATAACCATCGCTTAAATTTTATTATTTTGGTAGAGATCTCAAAGTATTTTTCTTCTTAACTAAAACTTGTCTTGAGCACTGTACGGTATGTAAAAAAATTTCGGGCTCGTTCATACATACATTTGATGTATGTAATAACAAAAGCCCGAAAACATTAAAAAAACTTAAAGATACTCATTCATACAATTTCATCGAAACCGCTTTAAATAAAAGTAAACGCGTAGTGTCTGCTTTATTCCATTTACTCCATAAATGATTTTTGGGAGGAAATAAAATTTTTTTTCGCGTTGGAAATGTACATTGACATCGCACTTTTATTACATTGTATATATAAATAAATCTACGCAAGCGCGTTTCCTTTATCATCCTAAATATGTACACGCAATCCCCGCGAGTGTACTCGGTTATCACCCAGATAGAAACTCGTCGAGGGTCCGGATTGAAAGCGTGGAGTCATAGTTTTTATGCTGCGTGCGAGGAAGCCACATTGCGTAGTAGCCAACAAGTAGAGTAGAGCAGCTCACTTTACAAGCGTGCTTTACATACCGCGAGAGACCAACACTTGGGCCTAGTCCTTCGCTCCTAATTAAGCATTCAACACTAATAAGCGAACATTCTGTAGATTATTTTAATTGAACGTAAATATTATAATAAATGAGTCCATCATACACATCGTCAGTAATTAAGGATTAAACTTCTATATATAAAATTAAAAACGTATTGCGCGTAAAAACAAATGAAATGATTCCGACTTAACCAACAAGGCAGACCGTAAAAAGGGTCAATCATTTGCGAGGTTTGATTTAATGACGGATAGTGTCGGAGCACGGAGGCCGGTTTCCCCTTTGATCTCTGAAATTTCGTCAAATAACTCCCAATTTGGATCGGTATTGGACCGTGGCTGGTTCGAGATATTACTAAATTCTCATTAGCCGGGGTGAATTCGCCCATTAACATAGTAGGCTCGGCTCGGCTTTGCCGTTAGATAAATCAAGACAAAGTGCTCACCGCGTGAAAAATGCGCGCCGATTTGGCGGAAGGTTTCGACAGCCGGGGATTTGATGGGCTGTATGGCTATTAAATGATGATATATTAACAGGGAAATATCGATTAAACATGATTTGCGGGCGGGCATGGGCGGGTTCGCACGGTTGAATGTTTAAACAGTTGGCTTACTAAAATATGCTCTATATTCTATGTTAGCTAAAACTCAAAATTGTGACTGATATTTTTTTTATGTATAATTTTTCTAACTTCATATTGTTTTATTGTTCATACAAAATACAATTGACGTAAATTATATTCAACTGCAAAACCCCCATATACTACTAACATACCAGTGCACCCTAGAACTATAAAAATACCGTTAAACAAATTTACTCGACTACTAAATATACATCGAAAATATTTTTAATTCCAATAAACTTGCGAAAACACGAGCTTAAACAAAGGCGTCTAAAGTTTATGGAGTAAGCTTACTCAAATTTTCAACTGGTTATATACAAAACACTTTAACACTTCTGCGGGCCACAACAAACCTTAGGCGCGATCGGCAACAAATAGATGCAGAGGTAGGTGGTAAATAAAGCGAAACGCGAATTAAATACGTCGTTGGGAACGCGGCGCGAGGACGCGAGCGATCGCGCCGAATGTCGGGACGTGAATGTAGGGGCGGCCAGCCACCAGCATCCAGCTTTCCCTCCAACCCCTCCCACCACCCCGCTCCCCCAACGTCTGATAACCTGCTACTTCGGAAGTCACTAAACCCAGCCACGAATGTCACCCAGGCAGCAACACAGACTTACGAAGGAAAATGTGATTTTTATTGAAAAGGGGTCGCCGCTATGCCACCGAGGTTTCTTTGTGTGAAAATCAATGTAACGGGGTAGGCTCTCGGAGTAGATAAGAGTGTGATTATTGCAAAAGAAACGACATATTTTTCAACACAGATTATGGAAATATTGAATATTAATTATAGTAAGGAGAGCCGTGATAGCTCAGTGTTCGGTCGCGTATTTTTATTTAAATGTACATAGGCAATACAACGCACTTTTGTACCGGTGGCAGATAGTAATCTTTACTACATTACAAAAAAAGGTTTTAAAAAAATGTGTTCGCTGCATTTTATGCGATTATGAATAGGTGCAAAATTCATCAAACTTCACTTAGTAAAGACAACTTTGTGGGGCTATTGTTAGTAATGCGCAAACAAATCCGAAATGGTTCGTTAACTAACCGCTGAAGCTGAGACATCAATATGAGATTACAGAAACTTCGCTATTGCACTGTATGCATGAATTTAGTTACTATATGTAGTATTATTTTTAAAGTATTGGCATTTTTCATGGTAATTTTTTATCAAATAGAATTGACAAGCAAATGACATAATTTCACTTTCCGTATAACTAAATATAAATCGCTCGGCAAACGCAAACGCGTTGCCGATTGCGTCATTAAAAATAAAATTAATGCGTACAAAAAGTCAATTTTATGCTGATTCTCGCGCAATGATCAATTGCATCAGAAAGTGAGCGTGTACCGGCAACTGGTACACAAATTGCAGTCTGCCCGACACCATTTACGTAGGGCGACGCAACTTCCCGAGAGCTTTGCACGCGCGAGTGCAATTTTCTTACTCGAGCTTCGATCGCAATTTCGTCAGATTGACGGTCTGTGATATATTATGAATTTGAGAGGCCCAGATTAATTTTATACTTTCAAACATTAATGCGTTTTTTATTGTAATTTTTTTTTTTATTTTACGAACGTATCTATGTTATTAGCTCAACACCATGTAGCATAATTCCGCGCGCTTTCTTTAAGTCGGTATCATCTACCAATAACTTGAGTTCAGCGTTGACATTGCTATTGATTATTTCATAAATGTGATTATTTATAAAAAATGCAGCAGTTATATTTTCTATTTTAATAAATTGAAATAAGCGTATATTTACCACGTCTAACGCGATGACGAAAAACATAGCTAGAACCTGCACATGTATAGTGTATATTTTTAAGTTTTTTTAAGTGTCAATACGCAGTTGGATCACGTGGCTGACTCTCTGTACAAGTGTGACGATTACCCAGCAATGAGACGTAAATTATCTGTACACTTTATATTAGTACCCGCAACAAGTTTATGTTTTTATATATTTTATAAACGTCAAGTCTTATATAAATTTTGTGCAGCTTCTTGAAGAATTTAGCCCAGACTCTACATACATATTTGGGTGAGATAAAAGTTCATTGCTATTCCAAAATATCCCATACCGTAAAGGGCAGATAACTAATATTTTGTCGGCATAGGTACGTACGGAATGTTGAGTATTATTCCAACATTGTCTGTATATTAGTAACTATTTTCTGGAAGTTGTAAACATAGCCTATCATGCCAATATAATTTGAACATAAACTGCGCGTACTCAAAGGTGATTTGAGGTGGAAATTATGATACGTTTATTCTAATTTAGCATATTTGAAATAGCATTTTGTATTTGATGGTTAGAAATTATAAAATATTCCAACTTTATACAATATTTTCCAGATTCTCATCTCCAGACAGGTCAATGTACCCTTGCTTAAGTGGTAACTGAAGTTGCAGTGTAGACTTTACATAGCTGCAAATAATATCTCAGTAGCGAAGACGGAGAAGGACATTATATATGATATCTCTTCGATGGAAAACTATTTTACTACTCAAGTTTGTCACTGACATTGGTAGTTTAATACTTTAGAACCGAAAGTTTTCATACCTAATGATTCAACATTTGTATGGATAAAGTGATAAAATCACTTTATCCATACAAATGTTAATAAAAAGGAGTTATTCCCATTGTTATTATATATTTAGCGCTGTCCTATAACTTTTTCTACGTAACGATAACACAAAAATAAAATGCTTTTTATGAAAATATGTACATGCTACGAAAAAACAACACTTTTGAAATTATTGTCTTTGCGACTCATGAGTCTCAATAGCGAGCATTAATCATGTACTTTGATCTTAATTCACGGGATGAACCCCTCGTAATCTTGACGCAAATTGCACGCTGGCTTGACATTAAATGGTGTTTATATTTCTCAAATCTTGTCTATTAGGCGTCAGTGTAAGTTACATAAGTGTTACGTCACTCAGAAGCAATGAGGCCCGGCGATCTGACACTTGACTGACTCCCTCGTTAATTCGCTTTACAATTCCGCATATTTCCGCCTGCGAATATAAACCGGATGCTGCAATTGGAGAAGCTCTTAAAGATCGAAATTTCTAGGCTATAAACTTTTTATAAAATTGCTCCAAGTTTGCGTTTCGGATAAAAATCGACACGGACGAAATTCGCATTTAAATACACTGAAAGTGCCAAAATGAAATTCCAATTTCTATCGTAAAGCTTATATAATGTTATTAACATCATCCTAAATTAGTTATGACCTAAATTGAAAGTACGTTTATAAAATAAAATTTTAAAAAGTGCATTTTCAAAATGATTCAACGTTTCGTGTATGGGATGATAGATCAAAACTTAATGCAAATGAATGCGATACAAATATATCTGTATTACTATTTTCGTACATTTATCTTTAACCCGTTGTAAGAAAATTCTAGGAAGATTCATAATAAATTGACAAAGACAAGTATAAAATATTATGACGTCAATGTCACTTCCAGCACGCTGACTGCGTGACAAGGGAACGTTAGTGATGGGACTCAGGTTTGCTCGCTGCTTTGGAGAGACTGAGGTCTATTAATGTGGCGATGAACGTCGCCATCGTCAACCTGGATTAGTGACGCTAGATTGAATTTTAGTTTGAAAATTTTATAAAGAATGAAAGATAGCCGACTAACGAGCTTAACTGATTAAATAGATTGATTGTGGATTATGATAAGTTTTCACTGGTAACAGAATTATAGGGGGAATATATAACATTTTAAAAGTTGACTGCTTTATAGAAGTCATTGAATTTGTTGTTTTATGTTAATTCGGAAAAGAAAATGTGGTTTTGACAAAAATTTCCTTGTTTAAAAAAATATTTTGAGTTTATTACTCAAAATATTTTTTTGACTTTATTACTCAAAATATTTTTTGATTGAATGACGATTTAGACAAGTAAACACTTATATTAAAGTCGCAATATACACAATACACGTCACTTTCTCATCACCACGTCACCACACATCGTCACCACGTAACAATGTGTTAAAGGCTCTCGAAAAACTGCGAAGTTATATTATAAATGTTAATTTAACGAAAAACAATTCTAGTGTTAAGTTTCAAAATCTGTATTTTAATGAAAACGCTGACAAACAACTGCTGGCATAACAACATCTTCAATCCGAATAAACTGCGCAGAACATTGAAGCGAGAGCTGTTTTGGAATGTTAAAGTTACAGATATGCAATATCCATAACAGTTTAATGCACTATTAGCGACAATATCAACCGATAGTGAGCCCTCCGGATACGCACGACCCAGTTTTCAAAGAGTACGTGTTGTCTATGTACGTACATACATGAATAGAGTGCAGCAAACAGAGAGCACTTGCTTTACACGCGGGCAAGTGCCTAGTTGACCGATTAACTTAGGAATCCAAAACATGTTTTTTAGAAAAATCGGTTGTAGGTTTGTTTATTGAGCAAAATGGCAAAATACATTCATGATTAAAAGCTTTTGTCGAAAAGAGTATTTGAACATTCCGATAAGAACATTTATCCATTAGACAATATTAGAAAAGCAATAGAAGGCTTTCTTCTTTTTGTGTTCATTGTAAAATAAATCTGATTAAACTTTTTTATTTCTCTCCTATCGAAGTCAATTAGCGATTATTTTTTATGAAGACATCCTAAAAAGTTACCGGAGAGAATTCTACAGCCGGTGAACTTTGGTAAGCGGCTCGCTAACTTAGTAAATAAGACGCTGCTAATGGAAAACGACATGTCGCTAACGAAGACAGAACGCTAGAACAACTCTGTACTGCAAAGAATTATTAACTCCTCACGAACGCTAACTTTTAAAAGCCATTAAATTTTTCGCGACACGCGCTCGACTGGAATTGAGTTCGGGAAACTTGCGTCGCTAACGGAAATATTGTTTGTTTTCCGACGTGATACGGGCGGCAGGAATGACGATGAAAAAAAAATTGCGAAAGTTGGTGGACAACAGCAAACTCCATCATACAATTTATGAGTAGTTGATCTCAACTGGAAGATTGGAAGGTGTTTATATATTTTAACATTCCCTTCGAGCATGAAAAACAAACATTTAAGTTGTTTGAGAATATTGTGTCACTTTGCCAACGTCTGTTGGAGATAGAGATAAAATACTAAATAACAGAGGAGGAACGAAGATAGACTCTGGAATTGGAATAGCAAAATGAGGTCAAGTTCTTCGTATCTCAAAACGAGAGTCGGTTCAAAGATAAGTGTACCTCTACGTTACGGTACATTTCATTGCCGCTGTCCTATTTAACTATTAAAGTATGTTAAGAACACTGGTTGTACCCACATTTATTGTGCTTTCTTTAAAACCACGTGATTACACTGCAAAACTCATATTCAATGTATTTGTTATCTGTCTATCGTTCCTGCGCTTGACTTTAAAAGCTCATTCGGATTTATCCACATCAAAAGGCATCTCTCATAAAAAATCAGACTGTATCGAAGAAATGAAATCTAAATAAGAGTTCTGCCTCTATGGTTAGGTACTGTGAATAAGAATAATAACATAATGACAATTTTAAATAATCAAAACGCGTAGTTATGTATTGTGAAATAGTTTATTCTAATTAATGTTTATAAAACGACTAATTGTATACAAATACAGCGATATTATTAAATATTGCAATAAGCGACCGAATTCCCTCCCTTTGATATCATATCTAACGTACCATAGGTCACTGCCTCGATGACTGCCTTGTTTCCGATTGCAATGTGATATATAGACGACGGACGTATAATAATAACGGTCGGTAGTATACATGTCCGCAAAGTTAGTGTTAGATGAATGTTCGAGACCAAATATGAGAGTTTTATATCAAATATTAAACGAATCTCAATCTAATAAAATCAGGGTAAGCTCTGGGACTATAAATTTTTTTTATTAATTTAAATGTACCCTTATTTTATGCTACTGTTGCCTGTTCAACTCATACTTGGGAACAGCTAGCAGAAAAATTGCAAAAGGTAATTAAACAAGACGTCCTTCTTCATTAGCCAACCTCGGACGCCTTTTGTTGCCTCTAATGAGTTTATATTTGTCTCCATGATTTTATCGCTTTTTGAAGTCCCTCTATGAAGTCTTTTGTTCGTTTCACTTAATCTTACTAAGATAACGGCAACGGAATATACGAAATTCAAATTAAACAGTGAACAGGTACGGATAGATTTTTCCCTGAAAGTTTGGTAATTTAGGTATACATTGACATATGTGTATATCGTTTTTGAAGTACTCTAGCATTATAATGCTTTGAGGATAAGAAGGCTCAGCTGCCTGTTACAGAGAGCACTCGCCGTTTTATCATTAGCTTTAATATTTTCGAGTATGTTACTTTCAGAAACATTTTCTGTTAAAAATTTATGAACTT